GCTTTAGATTCCAGAGTTCCAAACTTCTAAAAGTGTTATCATATGGACCTCCCAAGTGGCGTAGCGAGTTGAATGCTGCGATGTGAAGCTGTCCACAGCCTCTGCAGCACCAGTTCCATTCCTGGCCAGCCATGGAGATATCCACATGGTGCGGCAAACCTCTCCTGTCTCGCCTGCTGCTCCCCTCAGCAGTGTTTTTGGTCCTTCTGCCTGTTCTGCTCCCTGCTCTGTCTCTGGTGAATTGTCTCACCCTCTTGTGCCTCTGGCCTGTATCCCAGTGCTTGTATAAGTAAATTTTTTTTTAGAAAAAAGTATTGATCAGACTACCCAAACTCCTCCCTGCACGCCATTAAAAAAAGAAATCAAGGTATAATTTACATAAAGTGCATAAACCCATTTCAATAGTACACACAAGTTTGTTCCCACATACTTCTGTTCCCCCTCCCCTCTTTTGTGCTATTATTGTCATACATATTGTATCTTTTATATTATAAGCCCATCAACACAATTTTTACGCTTATTGTTTTATCAGTTGTCTTAAGTCATCAGGAGAAGGATGTTATAAATAAAAATGCTTTTGTAGCGTATTTTCTATTTCCCTATGTAGTTACTTTTACTGATATTCTTCAATTCTTTATGTGAATTCATATTATTAGTGTAAAAGGAATTTAAGGGGGTCTCCCTGGTAGTACAGGGGTTAAGCACCACACAATGAAGCAATCCACAGCCTCTACAGCAGGAGTTCGATCCCTGGCCAGCCAGGGAGCAACCCACAAGTTGCAGCAGTCCTCTCCTATCTCACCCGCTGCTCCCCTCAGCAGTGTAGTTCAGTCAATCTGCCTGTTCTGTTCCCCACTGTCTCTGGTGAATCTTCTCACCCCCCGCATCTCTGGCCTGTACCCCAGCTCTTGTATGCATAAATAAATCTTTTTAAAAAAAAAAGGATTTTGGGCCTCCCCGGTGGCGCAGCGGTTGAGCACTGGGTTGCAAAGCTGCCTGCAGCCTCTGCGGCGCCGGTTCGATCCCTGGCTGCTCCCCGGCCACCAGAGGAGGGTCCTACATGGCGCGCAGACCTCTCCTGCCGCCTGCTGCTCCCCTCAGCAGTGTTCTTTGGTCCTTCTGCCTGCTCTGCTCCCAGCTCTGGCTCTGGTGAATTCTCTCGCCCTCCCGCGCTTCTGACTGTACCCAGTGCATGTATAAACAACCACACTCATAAGCCAAACACAGGATACAAGAGTCAGGGGATGGATACCTGAGGTGCACAGGTAGAGAAGCTGGTGCCACATCTGCCTTGGCCCCCAAGATTGGTTCCCTGGGTTTGTCTCCCCAAAAAGTTGGTGATGTCATTGCCAAGGGAACTGGTGATTGGAAAGGTCTAAGGGTTACAGTGAAACTGACCGTTCGGTACAGACAGGCCCAGAATGAGGTGGTAACTTCAGCCTCTGCCCTCATCATCAAAGCCCTTGAGGAACCACCAAAAGACCAAAAGAAGGGGCTTAGGTGGTGCAAGGGGTTAAGCACCTGTGAAGCTATCTGCAGCCTCTGCAGCACGAGTTTGATCCCCGGCCAGCCAGGGAGGAATCCACTTGGCACAGCAGACCTCTCCTGTCTCCCCCTTTGCTCCCCTCAGTAGTGTATTTCAGTCAATCTGCCAACTCTGTCTCTGGTGAATCCTCTCACCCTGCACCTCTGGCCTGGACTCTAGTTCTTGTATGCATAAATAAATCTTAAAAAATAAATTGTTGGTGCTAACCCTGACCTTTGAAAAGAAAAGAAGCAGAAAAACATTAAGCACAGTGGTAACATCACTTTTGACCAGGTTGACATAGCCCAACAGATGCCACACTGATCTTTAGAGAACTCTGGCTCCATTAAAAAGATCTTGGGTGCCGCTCAGTCTGTGGGCTGCAGTGTTGCCAGCTTCCACCCTCACATCATAGGTGACATCAGCTGTGGTGCAGTGGAGTGCCCAGCCATTTGAGAGACACAGAGAAAATTTCTATAAAGGATCATTGGACAATGTCAGGGGAAAATTGGTGGATGGAAATCAGGTGTGATCATGTATTGGCCACCTGAGGACATGGTGAACTACTGCCACAGAGTAGTCAGAACTGCAAAGATTTATATGGGAGAAACTAAGGAAAGAGAGAGGCTAAAAGGGGGATTTCAGAGAAATAGGCAGGGTTTCCAGGAACTGCATTTATACTCCTTTTTTTCCTTGGGTCTTGACTGATCTGTCATGGCCCTGGTGGGCATGTTTTCACTATGATAATGAAATCGTGGGTTAACCTCCTTCTTGGGTTCAGCTAATTTTGCCTGGCTTTCTGGTTTTGTCTGTAAGGAAAGATAAACAGGAGCAGAGCAAGAATGGACAAAGCATGGACAAAGAAGTTATGGTTACCAGTACAAAGGTGCTAGTTCTACTCTCCGTGATGGCTGTAGGGCTAAAGTGGTGGAGAAGAGAAAGGAAGGGAGAGGATGAAGACAAAATAGAGAAGAGACTTTGCCTTATGGAGGACTGAAGAAGATATTTCTCATTCAGCTCATATTTACACACACGCACAGACATAGAAAAAAGACACAGTGCCCAACCTATATGCTAGGAAAAAATTGAAACAAAAGCCATCTCTCAGTTCTGAAATTACAAATTAAACTTAATACTGTGTGTAGTGAGGATTTACTTAAGATAGTATTTTTTCTTTTGTTTTTGTTTTTAGATTTATTTATTTATGCATACAAGAGCTGGGGTGCAGGGCAGAGGTGTGGTGGTGGGGCAAGAGGATTGATTCACCAGAGACAGAGGAGGGAGCAGAACAGGCAGACCTACTTAAATAAACTGCTGAGGGGAGCAGGGGGCCAGTCAGGAGAGGTCTGCTGTGCCGTGTGGGTTAGCTCCTTGGGTAGGGATTGAACTTGTGCTGCAGTGGCTGCAGATAGCTTCAGAGTGCTGTGACTTAGGGAGGCCCTGAGACTGTGGTTTTTTTTGGGGAAAAAAAAAAGACCTCTGTGGATATAATACTTAAATTGAGATCTGAAGGATAGGACACCAGCTTGATGATAGGATTGGGGTGGGGCTGAGAGGGTCAAAGGGAACAGGGACTGGACTCCCCACTCCCAGGGAGCAGTAAGTACAAAGGTCCTAAGGTAGGGATGAACTTGGTGTGCGAACAGGGAGAAAGCAGCGTTTTTCTGTTGGGGGCATGAATGAGGTGGTGAGAAGGAAAGAAAAACTCGGAGAAAGAGGCGGGGACCTGATTAACAGCATCCTGTAGGTGAACCTAAGGTAGCTTTGACATTACTTGAAGCATAATGGAGTTAATAAAGCAGAGGTAATAAATGGAAAGTCAGGCTCTGCCGCAAGACATTCTTTTCCCAGCATTGTGCTGCCAAGAGCCCTTAATTTCAAAATAGGACGATGTTATATAAATGTTTAGATTTGTTTGCTTTGAAATCTATTGATTTCTTTTATTTTTATTTTTATTTATTTTTTTTTTTATAGAGGCATGCTTTATTTATTTGTTTGCTGGTTTGTTTGTTGTTTTGTTTATACATGCACTGGGTACAGTCAGAAGCGCGGGAGGGCGAGAGAATTCACCAGAGCCAGAGCGGGGAGCAGAGCAGGCAGAAGGACCGAAGCACACTGCTGAGGGGAGCAGCGGGCGGCAGGAGAGGTCTGCGCGCCATGTGGGACCCTCCTCTGGTGGCCGGGGAGCAGCCGGGGATCGAACCGGCGCCGCAGAGGCCGCGCGCAGCTTCGCAACGCGGTCAACCGCTGCGCACCGGGGAGGCCCTATTGATTTCTTTTTAAAAATTGAGATATAATCACCATGTAACACTTTGTTGACTTGAGGGATACAATATAAAGATTTGAGGGGGCCACCCTGGTGGCGCAAGAGGTTAAGCACCGCACTATGAAGCTGTCCCCAGCCTCTGCAGCACGAGTTCAAACCCCAGCCGGCCAGGGAGCTACCCACATGGCGCAGCAGACCTCTCCTGTCTCACCCGCTGCTCCCCTCAGCAGTGCATTTCAGTCAATCTGCCTGTTCTGCTCCCCACTCTGTCTCTGGTGAGTCCTCTCACCCCCCGCATCTCTGGCCTGTACCCCAGCTCTTGTATGCATAAATAAATAAATCTTAAAAAAATAAAATTTGATATGTGAATGTATTATAAGTGATTACAAAAAAGTAGTTAACATTCATGCATCGATTTCTCTATTTAATCAACTAACAATTCGAAGATTTAGCATGTCTTACTTCAAGCTTACAAGCAGCTGTGAAAAGCTGAAAGCACAACTGAAGCGCTCGACAGGTGCATACTGTATTTGGACGCAGGTGGAGACATGAAGCAGTTCAATTTCCTTGCCTTTCTCGGGGTTCCCCTTGGGGCTGGGTTGCCAAAAGTACTACCGGCCTACCAGCCCCTCCCCTGCCTCGCAGAGCTCTTGGGTCCGGTGAGACCCGCAAAAATTCTGGGGGTGACTGTTCGGATGATGCAGACTTTCCGGGGAGACTGGCCCCTTGGGCCACGGCGGGCTGCGGAGAACCCTCTGACCCGCAGGGCCCCCGCAGTGGGCGGAGGCAGCGCCCCCTGCCGGCCTCGGGAGGCCGCGGCAGGCCTCGGTGGGGCTCGGGGAGGCCGGGAACATGGCGGGGCCGCCCGGGGCCTCCGCCGCGCCGCGGGACGGGGATGCAGCGGCGCCCAATGCGGTGGCGCGGGTCTCGCAGTGGGCGGACGATCACCTGCGCCTCGTCCGGGTACAGGGCCGGGACGGGGACGCCCCCCGGGAGCGGACGCCGGCGGCGCCTCAGGGCCGCATTCGGAGGCCGCAGCGCCTCGGGCTCCGGGGACGCGGCGGGCGGGCCGGGGCCTCCCTCTGCCGGGCGCCTCCCGGGCGCGGGCGCCGGGCACCGCCGGGGCCTGGGCCCCGGGTCGGGGGAAGCCGGCAGCGCGGGGCGGCGGGAGGGTGGAGAGCGGGCAGGCCCGGGGGGAGGGACCGTTTTTTCAAGCGTAGAGGCCCCTGACCGTCCTGGGCCCCCCGACGACTGGACAGAGCAAGCCCCTTGAGATGGGGACGGTTTGGGGGGTGGAGAGAAAGGACCCCCAGGGCTGCCGGGGGTGGGGATAAAAGACAAGGATGCGGACAGTTGGGGCACGTGAGGTTGGGAACACGTGGAGGACTCTGCACCTGTGGGCGCAGCTGCACGTTAGCCCAGTCTAGACGAGGCTGCAGGTGTGTGAGCTTTAGGATGGGCATTTTTCTGGCCAGAGATCAGAACCAGACAGTAGTAACTTTGGGAAGGAGCTACATGCCTTGAAGTCGTGTTTAAGTTTGGATGACTCTTGGAGGAGTAAGAAAAGCTACTGAAGACGTGCCAGAACTGCCCCCTGAAGACTTGTATTTACAATAGATTGGAGTGTAAGTAGGAAGTCAGTAAAGTTTAGGAAGGAACCGTCAGAACAAGGGGAAACCAGTGTCTTAACAAACCTAGCGAACAGTATTTGCAGAAGGAGTTAACTTTATTAATTAACTGAGAGGTTAATTATTGCCATAATTAACTAAGAATTTGAGTGGGAGCAGCAGCTTTGATATATTCAGCAGCCAAGATCATGAAGCCTGGAGCAGGTTGGTTTTTACCCACCTGTGTGCAGTCCCTAGCATAGAGCTTACCACTTCGAAATCCTCATTATCTGTTTGTAGGCAATGCAGGGTAAGCTGTATGGTGTACATTGACAAGGCCTGGAGCCTTCCAGCTGAGCAGGAAGAGATGCACGGGTTATTTCAAATTTTAAAAAATGTCCTCAGCAGGATTGAGAGAGGAAAAAGTTTTTAAGGTAGCACGTGGGCATATTCCACATAACCCAAACATAGACTTGAAAGGTTCGGCACGGTAAAGACAAGGAGAGCCAGGCTACATTTCTCAAAGGGAGGGAAAGTTTATTGCGCCCCAGGCGGACCTCACAGACCCAAGGCGGGGGCCAGTGGAGTCGCGCACGTTGTTAGGGGGAAGCAGGGTTTTATAGGGCGAGGAGAGGTCAGGTGGGTAGTTGGGCTCGTATGGCGGGAAAAGTTTGTAGGGCAGGTAGAGGTTCTTTGTCTGAGACGAGACTCGTAGTGGGAGGGGGGAGGCTCATTGTCTGAGTCCTCCAGGCAGGTATCTGCATTCCTGCCCCCCAGGTGGGCTTCCTGGCTGGCTCCTGCATTCTGGCTTCCTGCATGGACCTTTCATAACTGTACCCTTGTTTTTATTTTCAACTTCATTTCTTACCTATCTGATTGTATTTATGGAATGGAAGTATGTTAGATTATTACTCTTGTCCAGGCAGCTGCAGGACACGTGTTGTTTAAAAGAAAACTCCTTTAGGTCTATTTCAGTTTAAAAGAAGCACTTTCAAAACATCAAACTTTCCCCAACTGTTTACAACACGCACATGTATTTCCTAAGCTGCCACATATTTTTAAGATATGATAATAAAGTTTTCTATCTTAATTCCTACTGTAGGCTCAGGGTCATGCTTTACTGTGAGTTCCTGTGGGCACCACAAAAGAGGTAGTAGACTGACTCATTCAAGGAACTTATGGCTAAAGTAATACAATCAATCGAGAACAGTGTTATGAATATAATTACTTTGCATGCCAGTTTATTTAGGAGACAGGTGAGGAGTCATGCATGGGTGGACAGTTGAAGGTTTTTAGAAGAAATGTGCCTGGCCAGGAAGATAAGGACAGTCCCTCACCCCCACCCTTTAGTACTTTGATATTGTGAATAATTAATTGTGAGAATTAATGATTAAACCTTTCTCTGAAGAACATCAGCACTATAATGGCCATAGCTGGACTAACGTTACTTCTAAGAAGTGTTCGACTGGTAAGCTGAAAATTAATGAACTCATTTTATGATAAGCAATAGACAATTTTTTCTCATTTCAGTTTTTATCTCAAGCAGTGTATCGTTTTGTTACTCATATTAGAAGCTTTTAAATAGTATTTTAGAACAATGAACATATTTTCAGGTCTTGATCTAAGTCCACAGGACTCTATGGAAAGTAATTACATAGCCTATATTTCCATAATCACTTTTCTTCATGCTTAAAAAGGAATCTGAAAAGGGGGCCTCCCTGGTGGCACAAGGGGTTAAACCTCAGCCCTGTGAAGCCATCCACAGCCACTGCAGCACTCTGTCTCTGGTGAATCCTCTCACTGCCCACACCGCTGGCCTGCACCCCAGTTCTTGTATGTATGTATAAATAAATAAATAAATCTTTAAAAAAACAAAACAGTTGTATAACATTGGGAGGAGTTAGTCTATAAAAAAACCGCCAACCAATAGTGACTTAATCAAGGAAGTTTATTTTTCTCATTTCACAGTAAGTCCAGAGGCAGGAGGCTACTGCTTTGTTTCCTGCCTCAATAACATAGTGTTTAAACCAGGAGGATTCTCTTGGCCTTTCCTCTTGTCACAGAATCTGGAGTAGGAAGGACTTGTGAGATGGGGGATAGGGTAGGGGAGCAAACATTGACATTGTTTAAAAATGAACAGTGGGGCCTCCCTGGTGGCACAAGGGGTTAAGGCACAGCCTTGGAAGCTCTCCGCAGCCACTGCAGCACGAGTTCGATGCCCAGCCAGGAAGCTACGTATATGGTGCACAGACCTCTCCTGACTCGCCCGCTGCTCCCCTCAGCAGTGTGTTTCAGTCAATCTGCCTGTTCTGTTCCCCACTCTGTCTCTGGCGAATCCTCTCACCCCCCGCACCTCTGGCCTGCACCCCAGTTCTTGTGTGCATAAATAAATAAATCTTTGAAAAAAATTTTAAAAAATAAATAAAAACGAACAATGATGTAAAAAATATATAAAATAAATAATAAAGATGTGATCACGACTAAGAGTCCATCCCTTTTAATTCTGAGATGTTCTCATTCAGTGACATAGAGACTTTTATAAGAGCCCCTTGACTTTCATAGTATTGGAAATTATTAAGGAACTGGGGGAATAAAGGGAAATAGAACCATATATTGTAATTGTACCTCTCAAGTCTCATTTATAACAATCTACCCCCATCCCCTTCCTTTTTCCTTAAGCTTTTGGTTTAGCAGAGCAACCAAGTCTCTTATCCCTTTGAATATTCCTTGTGTGGCATTTATATTGTATCTATTTTTTTTTAAAGATTTATTTATTTATTTATACAAGCACTGGGTACAGTCAGAAGCGCGGGAGGGTGAGGGAATTCACCAGAGCCAGAGGGGAGAGCAGAGGAGGCAGACTGACGAAGAACACTGCCGAGGGGAGCAGCGGGCAGCAAGAGAGGTCTGTGCGCCATGTGGGACCCTCCCCTGGCAGCCAGGGATCCAACTGGCGCTGTAGAGGCTGCAGGCAGCTTCGCAGCCCAGCGCTCAACTGCTGCGCCACCGGGGAGATCCCTATATTGTATCTATTTTTTAAAGATTTATTTTTATGTATGCATAGAACAACTGGAGTGTAGGTCAGAGGTGCGGGGGTGGGGGAGGTGAGAGGCTTCACCAGAGACAGAATGGGGAGCAGATCTACTGCAGGCAGATCTACTGAAATACACTGCTGAGGGGAGGAGCAGCAGGGCAGACAGAAGAGCTCTGCTGCGCCATGTGGGTTAGCTCCCTGGTTGGATGGAACTCATGCTGCAGAGGCTGGCGATACCTTGACAGCACTGAGACTTTAACCCTTGCACCACAGGGGCCTGGAATTTATATTTTAAATTTTTGAGTTCAACTTTACTTTGGAAATTGTGTACTAATTTGCCCTTCTGTATATCCTTCTCTGTACCATGCCATGATAATGAATGAAACTTGTCCCTGTGTGTGGTTAATGTGGAAGACTGGTATAAAATGTGGGCTGGTATAAAATACCCAGGGCATTACCAGGGTATTAGGTGTTTGCTGTTTAAATGATTGCCTAATGTGGAGATAAAGAATAAGGGGCCTCCCTGGTGGTGCAAGGGGTTAAGCACAGCACTATAAAGCTATCTGCAGCCTCTGCAGTATGAGTTCCATCACAGGCCAGGCAGGGAGCTACCCCATGGCGCAGCAGACCTCTCCTGACTTGCCCGCTGCTCCCCTCAGCAGTGTATTTCAGTCAGTCTGCCTGTTCTGTTCCCCACTCTGTCTCTGGTGAATCCTCTCACCTCCCACACCTCTGGCTTGTACCCCAGTTCTTGTATGCATACATACATAAATCTTAAAAAAAAGTAAGGAAAAAAATTCTTGTTGATTAAATAAGAGTTCTAATTTAATTCGACTCAGCTTTAGATTCTTTCAGCTGTAACTGGATGAAGAGATTGTATACCTATAGATTTGGATAATGACTGTTTAAGCAAATGTGTGTTGTGCCAATACTGACTGCTTTTTTTTTTTAAGATTTTTTATTTTTTATTTATACAAGAGCTGGGGTACAGGCCAGAGTCGTGGGAGGGTGAGAGGATTCACTAGAAACCGAGTGGGGAACAGAACAGGCAGATTGACCCAAGTACACTGCTGAGGGGAGCAGCGGGCAAGACAGGAGAGGTCTGCCTCGCCATGTGGGATTCTCCCTGGTTGGCTGGGAATCAAACCTGCGCTGCGGAGGCTGTGGACAGCTTCACAGCACTGCAGTCAACCCGCTGCGCCACCGGGGAGGCCCAATATTGACTGCTTTTTGATGAATTTGGTCATATGTTGAGGGTATAAACTTTTACAAGTTAAGGGTCTGTTTAATGAATTTTACATAATAGCTTGAAACAGTAAGAGTAACCAAAGATTTCTAATGTTCCTATAAAAACTTTTTATTAAATCATATTAAAATATTAATATAAAATTAAAAATCAAATAGAAAATTTTGTTGTTAAATGTTTAATTTGACTTAATTTGAAAATGAAAATAGTAATAAAATGTTATCTTGTTCTCCTTTTAAATCAACAGACAACGAAATTTACAAGTTCTTCTGATATTCCAGTAGAATTTATAAGAAAGAATGTTAAATTACGTGGACGTTTACGCCGAGTAACGGAGAATGGTTTAGAAATTGAACATATTCCCATTACTTTACCTATTGTATCTTCATGGAGAAGTAAGTAAGATACAATAATAATGAGAGTAATTATTATAGTGTTCTTTCTTAATCAGAAGTTATTTTTAAAGTGGGAAAAGATGGCATTTTAATTTTTTTTGATCCTAAACCTCTTTATTTATTATTTTTAGATTTTTTTATTTTAACATTTATCATTATTTATATTTCTTTAGACAATATTTACTTCCCCCCACCCCCTCAGATTGAGTCCCCATAGAATCTCCTTCCCCAAGGCACCCATGCACCATCACCACAGTCCCCTGTGTGCTTCCCTCCCTCCCTCTCACCCCTCTCCCTCTTCCTCCCCTGCAGTCTGTCTCTGGTTTATAAGGCATTTTAATTTTTAATTAATTTTTAAAATTTTTTTCTCTCACTGTCTATGAGAGAAAGTCCCAGTTCTTGACCTTACATATTACATACCAAGACCTATTTGGTTACTGAAAGGTTCGGAGCAGTAAAGAAAAGGAGAGCCAGGCTAAATTTCTCAAAGGAAGGGAAAATTTATTGTGCCCTGGGTGGACCTCAGGGACCCAAGTTGGGGGTCCGTGAAGCCACGCCCGTTGTGAGGAGAAATGTCTCTTTTATAGGGTGAGGAGAGGTTAGGAAAGGAAAACTGGTTTGGCAGGGGTGAAGCAGGTTTAGGCGGAACAAAGTGGAGCCAAGTTGTTTTCTCCTGCTTATGGCTTCAGTTTAGGTTTGATGGTATCAGTGGTCCTGGTGTCAGGGTCATCTTGTCTTTTTCTATGTGGGCTTCCTCATTCCTGGCCCCTGCATCGACCTTTCAGTTACAGATTTCCTTTTTCCTCCCCACCTTATTTTTCATTCAACCATGCGGTATTTCATTCAGGCATTCGTTCATTCCACCAGTATTGAGCATCTATTAAGTTTAGGCTCATATACAGCATTGAGTGAAACATACAAAACCACTCCAGCCCTAGGTGGAAGACAGGCAACAAACAAATGAAAAATTGTCCAAGAGCTTTGAAGAAATGTAGCAGGTTGGTAGGATGAGGGGTTGGTCACACGAAGCAGGAACTTACACATGAAGAGTAGTTGGAGGGGGCCTCCCCTGGTGGTGCAGCGGTTGAGTGCTGGGGAGGCTGCCCGCAGCCTCTGCAGCGCCGGTTCGTTCCCTGGCCGCCGGGGAGGGTCCCACAAAAAAAAAAAGAGTAGTTGGAGAAGGCCTCATTGAGGAATTAGTTTTTAATCAGAGACTCAAAGAACGAGAGGGGTTGCCTGGAAGCACATACGAGCATGGCTCTGTTGATGAGCCATCCAAAGGCTCATGTGGACATGGGGAAGAGGTGGACAAGAGGCACTGAAGGGGGTTGGAGAGCTGGCAGAGGCCAGATCTTTTCTGCTCCAGTCCCATTTCTCCCTACTTCTTGTCAGAGTGCCCAGCCACACACACCTTCCTGCCTCCTACAGGTGTTCTCCTGCCCCAGGGTGCCATGGCTGCTGTTGAACTGCCATTGATTCTTCAGGATCTAGCTCCACTGTCAGCTCTTTTGTGAAGCTTTCCTTACTCCCAGGCAGAATCAGTCTGTGCCCCTCAGCAGTTCATACACAGGGCAATTATAGCACTTAGATACATTTTCCTATAATTATGTATTTAGGTTTATATCCTCCCACCCAACTGTGAGCCCCTGGAGGCCAGGAACCTTTCCCTCTCTATCTTATTATTCACATTCCTAGAATTTTAAGATCTTAATATTATCAAGATCAATTAATATTATCATTATCAATTGATATTATCATTAATTGAATATTATAATTATCAACTAATATTATCAATTATTAACTTTATCAAGAAATGATCTCTCACTTTTTTGCCCTCAGATGAGTGAATACTACTTTTTCACTAAGATGTGACTAGAAAGGAATAGATTGATTTCCCCCACCCCAACCAGTATACCTGATATAATTGATTTCTTTAACAAGTCAAACCAGGGCCTCCCTGGTGGCACAAGAGGTTAAGACAAAGCCACTGCAGCATGAGTTTGATCCTGGGCCAGGGAGCTACCCACATGGCACAGCAGACCTCTCCTGACTCGCCTGCTGCTCCCCTCAGCCGTGTATTTCAGTCAATCCGCCTGTTCTGTTGCCCACTTTCTCTGGTGAATTCTCTCACCACCCCGTACCTCTGGCTTACACCCCAGTTCTTGTATGCATAAGTAAATAAATCTTAAAAAAAATTATAGGGCCTCCCAGGTGGCACAGCGGTTGAGCGCTGGGTTGCGAAGCTGCCCACAGCCTCTGCAGCACCTGTTCAATCCCCGGCCGCCGGGTGAGGGTCCCACATGGTGTACAGACCTCTCCTGCCGCGCTTGCTGCTCCCTTCAGCAGTGTACTTCGGTCCTTCTGCCTGTTCTGTTCCCTCTCTGGCTCTGGTGAATTCTCTCACCTCCTGCGCTTCTGAATGTACCCAGTGCTTGTATAAATAAATAAATCTTTAAAAAAAATTATAAAGTGAAATTTAGAATGCTTCCTTTCTTTAGTAGGTAATTACTGAAGGTCTGCTCTTTTGCTACAGTCTCAGTAGGTAATGTCAAATAAAATGGATCTGAGAAATTATTCAAAGCTTCTACCCCTGGTGGTACAAAATAATGTTTTTAATATGTAATACAGCTTCTAAGGAAGCTGTCCATTGTCATGAATCCTCTCATAATGTTATGTAAATCTAGGGTACAAATCAATTTACTGTATCTGTTATATACTTATATTGTTTTAAAAGGAAACTTCAGGGCCTCTCTGGTGGCCTAGGAGTTAAGTTTCAGCAGCACTGTCATTGCTATGGCCTGAGTTTGATTCCACCCCCCACCCCCACCCAGGGAGGTGACCCACATGGTGCAGCTGACCTCTCCTGTCTTGCCCGCTGCTGCCCTCAGCAATGTATTTCAGTAGATCTGTCTATTCTGCTCCCCACTCTGTCTCTGGTGAATACACACACACACACACACACACACACACACACACACACACACACACACATACCCTGTACCTCTGGCCTACATCCCAGTTCTTGTATGCATAAATTAAAATAAATCATGAAAAAAAGTTTAACTTAAAAATAAATAAAAGGAAACTTCAATATAGAAATAAATGAGCCTATATGTGGAGAGTCTAGGTATTTACAAATAAACAATATATTCGGTTGTTTTAGGATGCCAAGTGACTTTGGAATTTGCTTTTGCAACATGGTACTAAAATTAAACTCTCTTCTTCCTAACTTTTTTAGAAGAACCATGTGGTGCTTTGCTTGTTAAGCTGGCTGGAGTAGAACTCACAGAAACTGGGAAGGTGTGGTTACAAGAGGAGCTAAAACCTTCCCAAGTACTATGGTTTCAGCTTCTTGGAAAAGAGAATTCAGCACTCTTTTGCTACCTTTTAGTGAAGAAGGTAAGTCGTATAAAGAAATTATGAGCAATATTTTTATTCTTAGCACTTATATAGAAATATGCCATTAATTAGAACCTTTAATATATAATTCTTAAAAAAAACTGCTCTTACAGTGATTATGTATACAAACCCATGTGTTTTATATATAAATTTTGTTATAATGTTTTCATTTTATATATATTTATTATAGAAAAAAGTTAAAAATTACAAAAAAGGAAAAAGATTTAAATGATTAATGAGCCTGACATTGCTAATCTAAGGTGCATTTTTAATGCATTTATAAAAATGTATAAAATACATTATTTATGCATGAGAATATTTTATCACACTAGTTATTAGAATCACTTGTTGAAAGAGACTTATCGACTGGAAACTATAGGGAGTAAGGGTGTTTTCTGATGGTAAATATTGCTAAGTATGGTCCAGTACCTTGTAGATAGATATATCTTAACATGTAAATCTGAATTCTAAAAATATTGAGCATATTTTATATTTTTAGCTTATTTAAATTAAACGCACTTAAATAATGTTACGATCAGTAGCTGGCCATCTGAAGAGGTTGCCATGTGTTGGTTAGGGTACAAGGGAAAATGCCCTCACCCCATTTGGGTTTTCCCAAGGTTTGACAGATGAATAAATTAATGTCAGACAGATTAGTAGGAGAAAAGGCCAGATTTCAGTAATCTATGTGTGGATAATGCATGTGACTGTAAATTTCTAAAGAAGAATGGAGTGGACCAGAGATAATTATCTTGTGTTTTGGGACCTGGGTTGTCCCGTGATAGGTAAGAAGGGGATGACCTTATCTTCACTGTGAGAGTAAAGGTAACTGTCTGTCTGACAGAGAGGACATGTTCACTGATGGACCTGTACCCAGACGTTAGTCCCTCCAAACTATATTCTTCTAAGTCATTAAAGGGGTAGCAGTGATTGTTTCTCAGATTCAGAGAAAGGACAATGGACAGAAGCTCCTCAAATCATCTCTGCTCTCAACTCAAAACAGTCTGCAGTCTTTAAGTCATGGCAATAGATCTTCCTGAAGCTTACAGTTTCTTTAGTTCACATCAAGATGACATTGGAAGAGACATATTGAGAAAAGCCGACCTCACCCTTTTGGGGAGTTCGACCCCCACATATCCCTTTATGTCACCGGATGTTGCTCAGCTCCCTTAGTATTGCCATATCACTGCCTTGAGTCCTTGGATGTGCTTAATCTAAATTCTTCTGTTGGGCAATCATTGGAGAAAGGCCATGGAAAAGTAAAATAGTTGAAATACAGTTTTTCTTATTTTTAAATTTCCTTTTATATAACAAACAAGAATTATTTATTTATTTATTTATTTAAGATTTATTTATTTATACAAGAACTGGGGTACAGGCCAGATGTGTGGGAGGGTGAGAGGATTTACCAGAGACAGAGCGGGGAACAGAACAGAACAGAACAGGCAGACTGACTAAATACACTGCTGAGGGGAGCAGCGGGTGAGACAGGAGAGGTCTGCCGTGCCATGTGGGAGTCTCACCAGCCAGCCGGGATTGAACCTGCACTGCAGAGGCTGTGGACAGCTTCACAGCGCAGCACTCAAATGCCTGTGCCACCAGGGAGGCCCAAGAATAATTTTTTAAAAGACTTATTTATGCATACAAAAACTGGGGTACAGGCCAGAGGTGTGGGGGGTGAGAGGATTCACCAGAGACAAAACAGGGGACAGAGCAGGCTGATTGACTGAAGTACACTGCTGAGGGGAGCAGCGGGTGAGTCAGGAGAGGTCTGCTGCGCTATGTGGATAGCTCCCTGACTGGGGATCGAGCTAGTGCTGCAGTGACTGCAGATAGCTTCATAGGTTGCATCTTAACCCCTTGCACCACCAGGGAGGCCCAAACAAGAATAATTTGAAGAGAAAAATAACCTCACATTAAACTACTTTAAACCTGGAGTTTTCAAATTTTTAAGACTTAACTGTGATTAGACTTGTGACCATTGTAATTTTTTTTTTTTTTTTTACTTAAAGATTTTATTTGTTTTGCTTAGAAGAGCTGGGTTGTTCTAAGCTGGGTTGCTTAGAAGAGGTGTGTGTGGGGGGAGGTGTGTGTGTGTGTGTGTGTGTGTGTGTGAGAGAGAGAGAGAGAGGATTCACCAGAGACAGAGTGGGGAGGAGAGCAGAAAGATCTACTGAAACTACGCTGCTAAGGGGAGCGGTGGGCAAGACAGGAGAGGCCTGCTGTGCCATGTGGATTAGTTCCCTGGCCAGGAGCTGATGGCTGAGACTTAATTCCTAGGCCACCAGGGAGGCCCTCATTTTAATATTTAAGGCTTTTGAATTATTAATAGAAAGCCTAATGAAATCCATTAATTTTTGCATGTACGTATCATATTCAAAATAAGAAATTCAACACTGATTGTTTGACGCATCTTACATTTAAAAGTAAGTTGAATAGGGCTTCCCTGGTGGTGCAGGGGCTTAAGTGGTAGCAAGATGAAGCTATCCACAGCCACTGCAGCACGAGTTCAATCCCCTGCCAGGGAGCTAACCCACATGGCACAGCAGACCTTTCCTGTCTCGCCTACTGCTCCCTTCAGGAATATATTTCAGTCACTCCACCTGTTCTGCTCCCCACTGTGTCTCTGGTGAATCCTCTCACCTACCCCACCCACACTGTACCCCAGTTCTTGTATGCATAAATAAATAAATCTTTTTTAAAAAATGGTTTCTACTTTAAACCTGGAGTTTTCAAATTTTTAAGACTTAACTGTGAATTAATTGTGTAATAAAACTATCAAATTTTTAATACTTTGATAAAATTAGTCTTAATACGTTAAACCCCACAAGGACTATAGAAATAGCTAAGCAGGATCTCCTTTATACTGTAAATTAGTGGGAAAGAAATCCTGTTTATCTAGTTTCATTAGGAAGTGAGGTAGTCTGTGAATGAAATTTCCTGGAGCAAGAGGATTAAAGAGCCAGGACTATTTTTATGTTAATTATTTTGTGGGAAGTATTTTAAAAATGTATTGACATGCCAGTGCTTTCCTAAACACTGGAATTCTGAACCTAATTTAACAGTTCAGTGATGATTCAGTTCATTTTGCATTTGTCTACTTTTAGTTTTTTTCCATTCCATTAGTTTCTTTTGCTATGGACTCTGTCATTCGCTCTCTCCAGTGCTCCAATCCCATCCAAACAACAACAAACAATTCCAAAAATGCTGTTTATACTTGATTACTTGTGGGGAACTCTGTGTTATAAAAGAGACAATTGAGGGGCCTCCCTGGTGGTACAAGGGGTTATCACCACACTATGAAGCAATCCGCAGCCTCTGCAGCACGAGTTCGATCCCTGGCCGGCCAGGGAGCAACCCACATGGCAAGGCAGACCTTTCCTGACTCTCCCGCTGCTCCCCTCAGCAGTGTATTTCAGTCAGTCTGCCTGTTCTGTTCCCCACTGTTTCTCTGGTGAATCCTCTCACTCCCTGCATCTCTGGCCTGTACCCAAGCTCTTTTATGCGTAAATAAATAAATACATAAATACATAAATAAATAAAAGAGTCAGTTGACTTTGAGCAAGCCTGTCTATGTAATGAAATTCTTGCTGTTTATATTCTTTGGGTCCCTCTTACTTTTTGTCTTTGACTTTTCTCTGAGAGATTGAAATTGCTGAATGATTTTAAAGTAAGAAATTTTGGGTAAATCAATAATTTTCTTAAATAATTTTTTTTTTATTCAAGGGTAGATATTTTAGTGTGAGTCTGAACGAAGAAATTTTGAGAAGAGGCCTTGGCAAAACTGTTCTTGTTAAAAGTCTAAATCATGATTCGAAAATCTACTGGACAATTCACAGAAACTTACTTAAAGCCGAATTAACAGCTTTAAAGAAAGGAGAAGGAATATGGAAGGAAGAATCTGAAAAAGAAAACTATTTGGAAAATTTCAAAGACTCCTGGAGAGAAATGTGGAAAAAAGACAGTTATTTAAAAAAAAAGGGATTGGATTTCAACTTGAAAAAAGAAAGTTATTATGACAAATTTAGAAGGACTTATGAAACTTGGAAAGACAACATGAATAACTACTCCTTAATACTGAAGTTTAGAGAACTTATGAGTAGCATACGCTTTCGTAGAAAAGGGTAAAATATTGCAAGAGTTCTGGAAGTGTCTACTCCAAGGAAAATATGTAAATATATGGATTTTTTTTATTGAATTGAACTGGAAATTTGCCCCATCCATCAAAGCTATAGTCCAATAGATTTAGGTATTTAAGAGATGATTGTTATAAGTGTAATATCAGAATCATTTAAGCAAATTGTGATTAATGAAATGTACCTTTTGGAAAAATGAAACACTATAAAAAGGATGAAAAATACAGTTTGACAAAAGAGTTTATCGATTGGCTTTTGTGTTATTTTAGTTATTTTGGGCATTCAATTTTTGCTTAATGGGAATATTTATTTTTCCATTTTATCAACTTTGATTATTTATAATAAAGGGATTCTATTAGGAGTTCTATTGGAGGCTACTCTTTTTTCCCAGCTGCTTTCTGGCTGCTTGTGAATTGGGGGCAGTGCTACAAGAGAAGAATGGCACATTTCTCCATGTTTTTCCCTGAGGGGGTAAGCCCGAGGACAAAACATTGTGCTGAAGATGGCACCACAGAAGTGAGAAAGAACAGGGACACCTTATGACATTGCCACACCCCTAAAATAGCCAGTCCTTGAAGTCTCTTGCTTTCTAGTTTCTCAGTATGTGAGACAGTAAATTTCTTTTTAAGGCTAGATTGAGTTGGTGTGAGAATTTGACATATTCACATGCTTGTTTCTAAAATCATCCTGGGGGGGCCTCCCTGGTGGCGCAGCGGTTGAGCGCTGGGTTGCGAAACTGCCCGCAGCCTCAGCAGCACCGGTTCGATCCCCGGCTGCTCCCCGGCCACCAGAGGAGGGTCCCACATGGCGCGCAGACCTCTCCTGCCGCCCGCTGCTCCCCTCAGCAGTGTACTTCGGTCCTTCTGCCTGCTCTGCTCCCCGCTCTGGCTCTGGTGAATTCTCTCACCCTCCCGCGCTTCTGACTGTACCCAGTGCATGTATAAACAAACAAACAAACAAGTAAATAAATAAAAAAATGCCTCTATTAAAAAATAATATAAATTAAAAAAAAAATAAAAAAAAAATAAAATCATCCTGGGGGTGCAAGCTTCTTTAACAATGTCTTGTCCACTAGCATGCATAGGGCCTGCGAAGGATTTTCTTTCATTCTTTCTTTCTTTTTTTAAAGATTTATTTATTTATGCATAAAAGAGCTGGGGTGTAGTTCAGAGGTATGGCATGGCGGGGGGCCTGGGGGAGAGGGAGAGGATTCACCAGAGAGAGCGTGTGGAGCACAACAGGTGGATCCATTGAAATATACTGTTGAGGGGCGCCCAGGTGAGACAGGAGAGGTCTGCTGCACCATGTGGGTAGCTCCCTGGCTGGGGAGATGGAACTCCTGCTGCAGAGGCTGCAGAAGGCTTCACAGTGCTGTGCTTAACCAACCTTGCGCCACCAAGGAGGCCTAGTTCTTACTGTACTTCTAATGGATTAAGTAATTCTGTCCCTTTTTGATGCATCTACTCTTAGATTCACATTGTCTTTTTTGGGTTTTATTCTTCCACTACTAGGGAGGCCCCTGCAGATGATTTTCTTAATGACGTGTAATACTGACAGAATTCATAGGGATCACCTGCTCCAAAGAGTTGACTCCTATTAGAATCAATAGTACAGAATGAAAACTTTACTTGCCACCTGACTCCTGGTTACATATAACAAAGTATAGCTTGATAGTGCTGAGATTTAACCCCTTGAGCTACCAGGGAGGCCCTGCCTTAATAATTTTTTATTTTGTTTTAGGGGAGTGTTTTGTTTTTAGTTTTAGGGAAGTTGTAGGGTAAGGTAAAAAATCAGGCTTTTCTGCCCTCCCACCATCAGAATAGATGAGGGAACTCTGTGATCCTGAATGCATGCCTGATGGCGGGCACCTGAAGTGGGTACGACTGTGCTTTTAAGGGTGGTGTCACGGGAACGCCAGTAGAAGCCGAAAGAGAAGAAGCCCGAAGCAGAAGCAGAGAACGCCAGAGAACCCAGATAGAGTGAAGATTTGCTGGGGGCTGGGAGGACTGCCAGCCTCCCAGCCCCCCAGCACCCCTGCCTGCCATATGCCTGGTGAACCCCAATAAAAACCTGCAAAACCACTGAGGACTCTGACTCCTCCTTTACCCGGTCTGCATGGGATCAGAAAACCTGCACTGTGTCCTGTCCTGCCTTTACAGAAGTGCATTTAAATTACTTTTGTAAGAATCTCTTGAACCTTTTCTTTTTCCAATTTGCCTCCCAGAGAAGTCAGGCCAGCAATTTTTTATAAATAAGCTGGTTTTGGCATTCTAGTTAGCAGTATAGTTACCAGCTTAGCCAGTGGGCTTCCAGTTAAAAGTGTGAAGCAGGCTGGGGCGGCTCTTTCTGTGGACTGGATGACTAGTTTGACCTTTCCTTTGATGATGTAGGCAACCCAGACCCATGAAAAAGTAAGCAAGAAGGAAAATAGATCAAGAGGACACAGGCGTAGTCTTTGCTTGGGAATGTTCTTGCTCTCCACTTAGGTGGGAGCAGCATTAACTCCTGCTGAAGGTTAGCTTCATTGGCATTTCTTCTGGGCCAACACCTGCTTTCCAAGTTTTTGTCTCTGATCTCTTGTGGATCAGCCTGTTGTCAGTCTAAGGGCAGGGTGAGTTAATGCAAGAGGCTAAATCTTTGTCACTGGAGATGGTTGATAGCAACAACCTGAAAAAGTGAAATGGTCCCTTTCATGCTGAGTTGCAGACCTAACTTGAAAGTAGAGGATTTATTACTTTTTTTATCTCCTGTCTTCAAAGAAACAGGATTTATGTTTCCCCTTGGCCTTTCTTTCTCTTTGGTGTCTTTGGTATCTAGAATCCTTTACAATTTTTTTTTAATTGAAGTAACATTGCATTGTAACATTATATAAGACTTAGGTGCTTATTGCTGAGACTCACCATGTGTATATACTACAATAAGTTCACTGCTGCAAGTTCAAATCTATCCTTTACCCTACCATTGTCCCTTTTTTCCTGATTTATCCACTCCCCACCCTTTGCTTCTTAAATATATTCTAGCAAATTAATTCAGTTCTTACTATATTTCTTTTTTTAAAAAATATTTATTTATTTATGAATAAAAGAACTAGGGTACAGGCCAGAGGTGGAAGATTCACCAGAGACAGAGTGGGGAACAGAACAGGCAGATTAACTGAAATACACTGCTGAGGGGAGCAGTGGGCGAGACAGGAGAAGTCAATCCGCCTGTTCTGTTCCCCACTCTGTTTCTGGTGAATTCTCTCAACTCACCACCCGCACCTCTGGCCTGTGCCCCAGTTCTCGTATGCATAAATAAATCTTAAATAACTAAAGAACACCGCTTGTAGATACCTTAACAAGGAATGACATTGAGTATTTAGCGCCCTCTTCTGTTCTTCCACAACACTGTACTATACCTGTTTTAGCACTTGTGACATTGTAATTATCTACCCCTGTTGTGTGTCAAGGTATAGAGGGTCAAACCATGTCTTATTTGATTTTGGATTATTTCTGTTCCCCTTAAACATTCAGCCCAGTTTCTTGTTCATATTGGGGATGCTCTAAATATTTGTTAGACATGGAGATAAAGAAATGGATCAATAAAGACTTGCTTTTTTTTTAAAGATTGATTTATTTATACAAGAACTGGGGTACAGGGCCTCCCCAGTGGCGCAGCGGTTGAGCGCTGGGTTGCGAAGCTGCCCGCAGCCTCAGCAGCACCGGTTCGATCCCCAGCTGCTCCCCGGCCACCGGAGGAGGGTCCCACATGGCGCGCAGACCTCTCCTGCCGCCCGCTGCTCCCCTCAGCAGTGTACTTCGGTCCTTCTGCCTGCTCTGCTCCCCGCTCTGGCTCTGGTGAATTCTCTCACCCTCCCGCGCTTCTGACTGTACACAGTGCTTGTATAAATAAATAAATAAATAAATAAATAAATCTTTAAAAAAATTAAAAAAAAAAAAAGAACTGGGGTACCGGTCAGAGGCGTGGGAGGGTGAGAGGATCCACCAGAGACAGAGCAGGGAACAGAACAGGGAGACTGACTGAAATATACTGCTGAGGGGAGCAGCGGCCGCGACAGGAGAGGTCTGCTGCAACATGTGGGTTTCTCCCTGGCTGGCCGGGAATTGAACCTGTGCTGCAGAGTCTGCGGACAGCTTCACAGTGCAGCGCTCAACCCACTGCACCACCCGGGATGCCCCTTGCTTTTTCATTTCGAGAGCTTTTTTCCCAGTCATTTCTCCCACACATCTCATGAACCTACACCATGAAGATTAATTTGCCTTGGGCCTCCCCGGTGGCGCAGCGGTTGAGCGCTGGGTTGCGAAGCTGCCCGCGGCCTCTGCAGCACCAGTTCGATCCCCGGCTGCTCTCCGGCCACCGGAGGAGGGTCCCACATGGCGCGCAGACCTCTCCTGCCGCCCGCTGCTCCCCTCGGCAGTGTACTTCGGTCCCTCTGCCTGCTCTGCTCCCCTCTCTGGCTCTGGTGAATCCTCTCACCCTCCCGCACTTCTGACTACCCAGTGCATGTATACATAAACAAACAAACAAACAAATAAATAAAAATACATACCTCTTTAAAAAAAAGATTAATTTGCCTTAAATGGACTGAAAAATCATTTTTAAAAACTTGTCAAATTTGAAAATATTTTGGACAAATCAAGTCCCACATATGTATGCAAATAAATGAAACAAAATGAACAGTTTTTTTTTTTTTTTTTTTTTTTTAATTTTCTAGAGGCATGTCTTATTTATTTATTTATTATTGTTTGGTTTATACATGCACTGGGTACAGTCAGAAGCGCGGGAGGGTGAGAGAATTCACCAGAGCCAGAGCAGGGAGCAGAGCAGGCAGAAGGACCGAGGTACACTGCTGAGGGAGCAGCGGGCGGCAGGAGAGGTCTACGCGCCATGTGGGACCCTCCTCCGGTGGCCGGGGAGCAACCGGGGATCGAACCGGCGCCGCAGAGGCCGCGGGTAGCTTCGCAACCCAGCGCTCAACCGCTGCGCCACCGGGGAGGCCCAAAATGAACATAGTTTTTAAAATGTAATTTCCCCCTTGTGTTATGTTTGTATGGAAAATATAATCATCTGTTTTTAAAAACCCAGGTGGTTAATAGAGAATATGCATGCCCACTTAGGGTTCTATTTTATTATTTTTTAAAAGATTTATTTATTTATTTATACAAGCATTGGGGAGAGTCAGAAGCGCGGGAGGGTGAGAGAATTCACCAGAGCCAGAGCGGGGAGCAGAGCAGGCAGATGGATGAAATACACTGCTGAGGGGAGCAGCGGGCGGCAGGAGAGGTCTGCGCGCCATGTGGGACCC